ACCATGCTAAGCTTGCTAACTGTTCCACCCTCTGACTGCTGCAGAGGCGTGTCTTAGAGAGAGGCTTTTATACCAGAACATACCAGAACACAGCCGCTGTGACGAAACTGTGCAGAAGACACGTCACAGCGGAGAGCCGTTAACCCATATGCAAATTAGCCTGCAGTACCACTGCTCTACCCATATGAGCAGCAAAAAGACGTTTTTAGACCAAATATTACAGATTTGAACAAATACACACAAAAACATCAAAATTAGCACAGAAACAGTACTATATAACATTTTAGAGACATTCTAGACAGTTTATCAGCTAAAAAAATTAACTTTGGGGTAAGTTACTCTTTAAGGGGGAGTTTTTCCTCTCCACTGCTGCCACTGTGCTGCTCAGGATGGGAGCACTGTCTGCTGGCTTCTTTAGATTTATTGCTTTTTGTGTACAGTGCCCTGAGACAACAGTTGTTGTGATTTGGTGCTGTATAAATAAACTGAATCAAAACTGTACACCCCTAGTACCTGTAGAAAAATTTACGTAACAAAACGCACACACAGACACACCTAATAGTCTTACCAGTGCCAATTAAAAACATTCATGATCTATATGTGTGTGTGGATTTAATTTTCTAAATTTTAGTCACAAAATAAACCTGGGGCCTCATGTACAAAGACTTGCGTGGATTTCTTACTGAAATGTGGCGTACAGTCAAATCCAGAAAACGGCGTACGCACAAAAATGTATCAAACCGTACGTACGCCTGAATCCACACACATTTCTTTTGTGCATCACAATTAACGTGGAACTGAGAGCAGGTAAGACACCCCCCACTGACACGCCTTCATTAACATATGTTAAACAGATGCAAATTACATCCTGCATGTGTGAAGAACATGTTTGAGTGATCCCTGCGTGATCAGAAGTGATTTCTAAAGTCAGGAAAATAATGATTTTGTTTTAATGTGAGTGAGAAAAAAAATCCTAAGTAAGAATACAAAGAACGAGTGATTGTGTGTCGGTGTGTGTATGTGCGTGAGCGCGCACGTGAAGCTGCTGTGGCGCGCAACCGGATCATCCATCCATCCATCCGTACGCCTATCTAAAAATATTAACTTTGCGCAGGAGTTTATTACCATAATTACTGTAAACACAGAGGAACTTAAATGTTTGGTAGAACACAGATCTTTGTTTATTTCATAGCTGATATGAAGAAACAAGTCTCTGTGCCTCGGTGGAGAGTTTTCATGATGTGACATGATGTTGGAGAGTTAGAATCATGTGGATGAGACCGTTCTATTGGGCATGACTCAGCTGTGGGTGGACTGGACTGGCACAGTCCCGATCGGTCTGCCAGCTCCCTTTGGAAAGCTCCTGTGGAACCCCAATTCAATCACTGCTGCTGCACGTGCACGCGTGGAGGCTGTGTCGCGCTCCAGAGCACCGCAGTGACAAACTGAAAAAGG